GCTTCAGTCACTCTTGGGTTTATTGCAACCGTCTTTATTTTCCTGCTGCCTCCACAGCAGCATAGTTTTTCAACCCTCTGCCCCAGGTTGGAAATACCCCAAAGAAGACAAGACTTGCAGGGAAAGACAACCATCGCCGGGAAAATCGGAAAGCAGCAGGAAAGGAGGAGGACCCAATGTGAGATGGGTTAATTCCCTAAAGGAAGCCATGGGGTGGCGTTTGCAAGGGCTGAGCTGTGAAGGAGATAAGTTACACATTCCGGTACAATTTGAGATCTTGGGAAGTCTGAAGCCCTCTGAATAGAATTTCCACCCTAGTAATTAAGCACAAGCTGGCTGGATAGCTCAGAGGTTGAGGTATTTGTTCGGGAGTTCGATTCCCCGCTACTGGGCCAGCCTGGGTGGCCTTGGGCAAGCTGCACATTGTTCCCAGGGCACCCCCCCTCCCAGAAGAAGTGATGTATAAACCACTTCGGAGTCTTCTCTACCTGGAAAACCCTGAACAGGGTCATCATAAGTCAGAATTCTGTGGATGGCGAGTGATTATTATTAAATAGGCACAATCCCCCACCCCTCCAAACATGGCTCTCTTTTGATGGAGGTCTCCAGAGGTAAAGCCTCGAATAGCGTAAGCCCTCGATTCTTCCCACCCCACGGCCATTGTCAGAGAAGGAGCCTTGGGTCTCAGGGATCGTCCGTTTAACGAGAATATTACGGTTCCTGACCAATGGCTGAGTACATTGCTTCCGGCTGTGGAGAGGGGCTTGTGAACTGAGCAAGGGGGTGCTTCACCCCAGATTTCAGAGGGCTGCCCCCCCTAACCAATCATCATCTGCCTTGTGTGACATCCTAAATACACCTTCTGGGATGTTTTAAACATGATTGGCTTTATGGTGGCCAGAGGATGCGAGGATCAAGAGGAATCAGGCAGGAGGATGCTGCGGAGAGCTCGTGCAGCAACGGTTAATCTTTTCGTTTTCAAGGCTGAGGTTGTGAAGGTAAACAGCACAATCTGTAGGCACGCCTGCACCCCCACATTGAAAGCAAAACCTGCTGTCGAGTAGAGATAGTGATGGGATCATGTGAGTAAACATGCCATTGCCCAGTCATGCTCCCTGTGCACCAGCCAGCGCTGTGGAGCAGTGTGCAAATCTCCCCATCCAGTGACTGGACTCACTGTTTTCCTTGTGCAACCGTCAGGGCGGTGTGCAAAGACCACAGGGCTCTGCCCTCGGCACATGGCACATGGCACTACAAACACTCGTCCTCCTTCCGGGCAGTGTGCAAAAAGGCTTCCGGGCCGTGCGGCAAGTTTTACTCCTCCCTCTGGGGGGGGGGAAGCGCCCGTGCTGACTCAAGGGTGATTCAGCAGTTGTGTGGCCAGAGAGACCGAAGAACAATGAACGGTGTGTGCCTGAGAAGCCGGAAGACACAGCAGAGGGAGAAAAGGAGGAGGCACCCGGACGTATAGCTGCTTGAGCAGAAACGGATCATATCCCTCTTCCTGTGCATGGCCCAAAAGCACATGGTTTTCATATCTCTGGAGGACCACTTAAAAAACAAACAAACCCACAAATATTAAAAAGGAACAAATACTGCTCTAAGAAATGGAAAACACAACTCAGATACTGAAGCTGAGTGTACCAATGTGGGTGTGAATGAAAGAGAGAAAGAGAGAGAGGATTTGGTATATAAAAAAATTAAACCTCCCAACTAACTCCCTTCCAAGATTTTTGCCTATAAACATCCATCCTCTTTGCTTTGCCATGACTTGACATTGGTCAAGACGGTGTATAATTTTGTCCTAAGAAAACAGATCAGAAAGAGAAGGGAAGTTGATTCATGATTCACGCAGGAAAAAACTACCCTTCTGATTCTTTGGACACTTTTGGGAAAAAAATATATGATGAAACCCATGTTGATGCCTCAAATGTACTACTGCATGCTGGCACATTAGAACATAACCCTGGACTTTGACCCCAAACGCAGGGAACCTTGCCAGCATCTTTCCGGCTGCTCATGTTTTCCCGGAAAGAGTCATCTCTGTTCTGGCTGAAAAAGCCTCTTTTCCCCCTGAAAGTTCTCTTTGCCTGATTGCGCAACCCCAAGGGGTACATTTTCAGTACATGTTGATCCCAGAATCCACATGCTGTCCCTGAGATCAGTTACTGTAATTGATTTCTCAACCTTTTGATGATGGGGGTGGACAGGAAGCAGGACTCCCCCCCCCCTTAATGGGACAAGGTTATGTTGCTGCGTATGTCAAGGCAAGAAAACAGCACAAGGGGAGGGAAAAAGTCTGTGCTTCCTTCATCCTTGAGTTTAGAGAGTCTGTTCCAAAATGTATTGACCTCTAAATGACCAGCGGATGTTCAATGTGAGGTTCATGAAAACCTGGGAGAACATTCGTTATATCAGATACTGCTGGAACATCGTAGGATCCTGTCTCAGAGTTTTGAAAATGCTTTCCTTGCTTGATTACATCTCCCAAATACTCTAGGGTATTATTCTGGGCATAGTAGTATTTAAAAGGGGGCATTTGCCAGTCTTTAGTTTGGCTGCTGTTTAGTTTGGTTCACCACCAGCCTTCTAGATGACTGCTTCCACCCCACAAGTCAGGAATTTTGTTGTTGTTTAGTCGTTAAGTCATGTCCGACTCTTCATGACCCCATGGACCAGAGTACGCCAGGCCCTCCTGTCTTCCACTGCCTCCCGGAGTTGGGTCAGATTCATGTTGGTTGCTTCCATGACTCTGTCCATCCTTCTCGTCCTCTGTCGTCCCCTTCTCCTCTTGCCTTCACACTTTCCCAACATCAGGGTCTTTTCCAGGGAGTCTTCTCTTCTCATGAGATGGCCAAAGGATTGGAGCCTCAGCTTCAGGATCTGTCCTCCCAGTGAGCACTCAGGCTTGATTTCCTTCAGAATTGATAGATTTGTTCTCCTTGCAGTCCAGGGGACTCTCAAGAGCCTCCTCCAACATCACAATTCAAAAGCATCAATTCTTCAGCGGTCAGCTTTTTTTATGGTCCAACTCTCACTTCCATACATCGCTACTGGAAAAACCATAGCTTTGACTATGCGGATCTTTGTCGGCAAGGTGAGGTCTCTGCTTTTTAAGATGCTGTCGAGGTTTGTCATTGCTTTCCTCCCCAGAAGCAGGCGTCTTTTAATTTCGTGGCTGCTGTCACCATCTGCAGTGATCATGGAGCCCAAGAAAGTAAAATCTGTCACTGCCTCCATATCTTCCCCTTCTATTTACCAGGAGGTGATGGGACCAATGCCCATGATCTTAGTCAGGAATTTAGGGACCTGAAAACTGAATAGTTAAGAAAGCTGACATGAAAATAAATTGATTCATTTGAAATGGAGAGCTGGGGGAGAGCTTTGCAGATACCCTGGGCAGGCAGCAGGGAAAGAGGAAAACCCAACACGAGATAGAATGACTCCCTAAAAGGAAGCCACAGGCTTGAGTTTGCAGGAAATGAGCATGGCTGTTGAGGACACGGCTTTTTGGAGATGGCTCATTCATGGGGTCGCCATACCTCAAAGGGAAATATAGGAATGTGCCTTATGCAGAAAGGCTTTGCTCCTGTTTGCTAGGGGTGGCAGAAACCACACAACACATGTTTACCTGTCCCCACTGTGAGATTCCACATAATCAGATTATTTCTCCACTGATTAAAAAAAAAATCCCAGGTCATAGAGAAGAAAGTAGACTCCAGCTTCTTCTCTCCGATAAAGACCTAAGATCACCTGTCTTGTTGTAAGTTTCTGCATGGGGATAATTAGATTCCAGAAATCAAAGGGTAGATAAATTTTAGCTGTGTAGATTTTAAATGGTTTTAAAATTGTGGATTTTAAATGGGTTTAAACAGTAAGTTTTTAAATGCATTTTAAACTAGCGCAAGTGGTAATTTTGCTATGCCTTGTGCTGAAAAGGTTGAAGTTGTAATTGTTTAATTGGTCTAAAATAAGGACTGAAATAAAATATGTATGCATGTAGGGTTGCCATGAGTTGGAGGCAACTTGATGGCACATAATTATGGGTTATTAGAAGGGCTCCCAACATGGCTAAGCATCAACTCAAGCTTGAGTTGTTCTCATGGCTCCCTAACTCAACCAACCGCTCCTTTTCTAGATGTCACCCCATTTT